GGAGCCTCCGCCTCTCCTCGCTGGACCACTCGGTAACTCTCAGGCAGAGGAGGTGGGGCGGGGGGCGCAGAAAGAGCCCGGCCAGGCACCGACGAGGAAGCCCAGTCCAGCTGCGGAGCGCTAACTAGGCGCCCTCCCTATGGGTGGACGATAGGTGGGAGCCAGTTGGCTGGGGGGTGGGAGGAGGGTTCCTCAGCCCCCTACCTGGAGCATTCACCCTCCTATTCACCCTCCCCTGCAGGCGCTGTTTCTCTGCCTGGCTTGGAGCTCTCTCCACAGTCCTTCCCTCAAGCCTGTTACTCCTGGGCTGCTCATGTTTCCCCCTCCCCCCGGACAGGGGGGGCAGGAAGGGACGTGCCTGAGCCAGGGACCCAGCCTCTGAGACAAGGAGAAGGAAGGAGGAGCCAGCCTGGGCGGAGAAAGTGGGGAGAAATGTGCTAGGAAGACAATAGCTGGGAGAGGAATAGAACCCTGGGAACCTGTTCCATGAGGAGAGAAGAGGGTTGGTGGGGAACATACCATAGCTCAGGAATCTCTAGTCCCTTGCTGCCAAGGAAGCAGAAGCTAGGAGGAGAAAATCCATTCTCCTGCTAGGAGAGAAGAGAGGAAGAGGCACCTTCCACCCAGGGACAAGTCTTCCCTGGGGAGAGAAGACACTTCTTTGGAGCAGAAGAGTTCACCAGAGCAGCTGGTAACACATCCCCAGGGGGTAAAGTGGAGAAAGGGAGGTGGAATTGCCCAGAACTCCCTGGAGCCAGCCTGTAAATATTTGGATCTGGCACCTAAATCTGCTAAATCCTGAGAGGTTTTGCTCTCAGCCCTTCACATCCCACTGCCTAACCAAAGAACAGGTTGGGCTGCTCACCAAAATGTCCGATTCTTAAGGCACCCTAGCCTGGCAGGGCCATATAAACCGCTACCCCTCCTGGTCAGCCATCCACATTTCAGTGCCTCAGCAGAGGATAATTTGCTGCTCCTATTGTGCCTTAACACCCCCTCCCCCCCAACTCTACTGCATCTCATGCAATGGTTCCACAATAACTAACTTCACAAAAGTCAAAATGTAGCTCAGATTGCAGCAAGGGGCCACTTGTCTGTGTGGAGAGAGTAAATTCTTTGAGACAAGGTGCCATGGCTTCTTTTTTGAATCTTTGTTCTCTAGTTGCATATGTGGTCTTACCTGTAAGATTAATAAATTGTAACAAACTTAAACTAGATGGCAATTGTATCTGAAATAACCAAGTGATGTGCTTTCTGGAAAGACAGAGAAGGAAAGAGAGGGATGAAGGAACATTTTTTATCAGCCCAACTTCTGTATGTGAAAAAGACAGCCTTTCTTGTTTACACAGAGCTCTTCTTCTGGGCAAGATGTTCTTTAATGGTATTGGTTGGGAGGGGAGGCGGAGTTAATTTCAGTTGCAAAGGCTTGCAAAACCTAAAGGAACACATACTGGAAATCGAAAGCCTATATTGATTGAACAAAGAGCCTTTCCTATCAACTGCTTCAGTTTTGAACCTTGGGCAAGAGAGATTTCAGAACCTCTAAACCCGGCCTTTTGGACTCTAAGCCCTGGTCTACACTAGGCCTTTATTTTGAAAGAACCCTCCTTAGGTCGAATTAATAAGGAATTCTTGCAGTTTGTCTACATGGGGAAATTTACTAGCATAATGATGCCAGTGTAATTATATCCCTATAACTGCCCATGCCAACACTCTTATGTTGAAGTAAGTGTCCACAGGGGAGATGTAGCGATATCATTATAGCAGTATAATTATGTTGGTAAATTTCCCCTTGTAGACAAGCCCTTATTTTATGACCAAGAACAAAACAACATTGTAGGTGCATATTCTGGCTCCTATTTCATTTCGGGGAATGGGGATGGGTAAGGATGTGAAAATGTTTTCTCCGGAAGAATGCCGATGGGAGAAATGTCTAAACAATTTTCCCCGTGTTACCACTACTTCTTTTTCCCATGTCTGATCATAGTAGGCTAACACATAAGTCCTTGCCCCTCCTTTCTCTGAATGACGAGTCAGATGACTGGAAAGCAATGCTGATCGGTGAATATGTATTTGTGTTGAGTGAATGTGGCAGCACGAGTTGTGTGTTTGAATTAGGGTGTGGGAGGACAAGAGCTACAAACCTCCAGAAATATAACTGTGATCCAATGCAGTTCATTTAGATGATTGCAGGTACTTTTGGGTGAGATTCACAACTATATTGGTTTACTGGGTGTCAGGCACCAAAGCAGCTTTCTGAATCCCCTCCTTTGTGAACTCATTACTCAGGTTTCCAACTCCACACTGTACTTCAAAGGAGAATGTTTTTAACTGAAATTTTTTAAAAAATGAATTAAATAGATTCTATAGAGTTCTTTCATTTTTCATTTAAGATGTCTGTAAAGGGAGTATTTTAGGATTTCTTAATCCCAGCGATTATTCAGGCTAGCTCCTATTCTGCCTTTTGTAACTTCCGCATTGAAGTCGCTGTGAATTTGAGTCAAAATGTGAGAGCAAAGTTGCACTGAAATGAACATAGAATGTTTGCCTTCCTCTGCACACAGCAGACTCCTTAGAGATTTAAAGGGGGCAGCAGATACAAGAAAAAGGCAAAACAACATTTATTTATTACACACAAAAATGACATCAAGAGAATGAGGTTTAGGTTGCAAAATCAAGCAATCAGGATTTCGGAAATGACAGTATTAACGGTGCCATCTGACACTTCCCTTAGTACACATGTATAATGGTACAGTCTTTAGTTAAATGGTTAAATACTTGACTTTACATATTTTATAATATTTGCTTAGTGTAGGTTTTGTTTTATTTTTGTGTCTAAAGTTAGCTTATATGTATTCAATACACTGGAGAAGAGAAGTACTTTCTGTTGAAGTCAGGTGGGTTTTGCCTGAGTAAGTGAGGTTTTGCTGCAATGAGTAAGAGCTTCATGGACTTGCTCTCAATCACTTTTTTTAAGTACAGATCATCTTCATCTTCTTCTTGGCTTCATTGAACTATCAGCTGTAGCAATCGTTTGCCATTTGATCCATTCCTATGCAGCCACAAGGATGTGAGGAGTCTAATGTAAATGTAATGCACCCATATAATAGGAGGTCTGCCTGTGGAACTCCTCCATCCTTCACTTGGTGGAATTTTATCCCAGAATTTACAAGTCACCCAGATAACAGCTTTTTCAGAAACATTTTGTGGCATTCTCTCAGCATGTCTGAAAAGCCTGATGCCATCTGTGAACAATGCCATAATAGTTTATAGACTGGAGCAACCCTAAGCATCTGTATTACAAATGAAGTCATTCCACTTTATGCCCAATATAGGATATTGGCATTTTGTGTGGAAGCCTCCAACTTTGCCGAGTCTGAGCAGCACGGTGTCCACATTTCATAACCATACAGCAATAAGGAGAGGGTATAGATCTCCTGAAGGCACTGAAGTGTAGTTCTGAGAAGCTGGCTATCACAGAGTCATAGAACACTAGAACAGGAAGGGACTGCGAGAGGTCATCAAGTCTAGTCCCCTGCCCTCATGGCAGGACCAAGCACCAAGATTTAACGTATTCACTTCTACTTACGGATCTGAGTGCCCCCAGACCGACTCCCCATGAGTGCGAAGCCCCAAAGGGCCCTGAGCTCCCACCTGCGTCCTGTGTGTGCAGGGTTCTCAGCTCCAGCACCGCCTCCTTCCATCACCAATGGGCATGGCGCAGCCTAACCTGCTGCCGGGAAAGGGGGAAGGCACTGGCCACTCATGCACCACTAGAGCCTGTACCGTCCGGCTGGGCCCTGCGTAGCCCAATCTGCAGCCTGCCCCGTGGGAGCAACCAAGGCAGACATCCAGTGGCGGGTGGGACTTTTGCATGGAGGGGGGTGGGGCGGTGCTCCTCCACATGTAACCCTGCGGCTTGCATGTGTATGGGAGGGTGAGTTTACTTTCTTCACCTCCCTGCCTGCCCCCCTGGAGCTAGTCCTGCAGCCTCAAGTTCAGTGGCAGCGCGGGCTCCCCGCGTGCCACTCAAACTCATCTTGCATGCCACTTACGGCATGCATACCATACGTCGCCGACCCCGATCTAGATCATCCCTGACAAATGTCTGTCTAACCTCCTCCTTAATATCTCCAGTGATGGAGATTCCACAGCCTCCCTAGGCAATTTATTCCAGTGTTTAACTACCCTGACAGTTTGAAAGTTTTTCAATGTCCAACTTAAACCTCCCTTACTGCAATTTAAGTCCACTGCCTCTTGTCCTGTCATCAGAGGTCAAGGAGAACAATTTCTCCCTCCTCCTTGTAACACCCTTTTAGATACTTGAAAAATGCTGTTATGTCCCCTCTCCGTCTTCTGTGTTCTAAACTGAACAAACCCAGTTCTTTCAGTCTTCCCGCATAGGTCATGTTTTCTATACCTTTACTCATGTATAACAGGGCTTCCACTGTCCCTAAACAGTTATTATTTGCATTACTGTAGCACTGGGAGTCCTACTAATGGACCAAGACCCATTGGCTACGTCTACACTGGCCCCTTTTCCGGAAGGGGCATGTAAATTTCACTAGTCGTCGTAGGGAAATCCGCGGGGGATTTAAATATCCCCCGCGGCATTTAAATAAAAATGTCCGCCGCTTTTTTCCGGCTTTTAAAAAAGCCGGAAAAGAGCGTCTAGACTGGCCCCGATCCTCCGGAAAAAGTGCCCTTTT